AAACCAACCAACCAATCTACCAGCCAGCCAGCCAACCAACCAGCCAGCCAACCAACAAACCAACGGACTAAACAATCAACCATCTAACAGACCAGCCAACTGACCAAATGGGGAACAAATGGTGGCTTGATCATTTTGTTTTCCACCATGCTCCAATCTGTCTGGGCGAAAAATGGGTGGCGTTTGATTTCTTTGAAGTCGTCTTTCGATCCAAGCCTAATTCGTTGATCTTTTTCAAGAAGCTGAATATTTGCGAGTAAGAAGAAATAATATCAAGTATAAAATTAAACTATTTAATAGGTCAAACAGTCATTCAACTTATCAAAGCAATAACTACAATTATCAACAAATTAATCAAATTACCAACAAAACAACTAAACAGCCAATTAACCAGCCTACGCTTACAAACAATCAGCCAGTTAGCTAAACAACCAGCCAAAAAAACCAGCCAACCAACCAGCCAACCAACCAGCCAACCAACCAACCAGCCAGTCAGCCAACCAACCAGCCAGCCAGCCAGCCAACCAACCAACCAGCCAACCAACCAACCAGCCAACTCAACAAAACCAACCCTAAACAAAATATCTTGAACGAAACTGGATAATTTATTTTTGTTGATGTTCGTCGGGAGGACCAGCTGCTCGTTGCATATGCTGTGGTACATTATCGAGATGTTTTTGTCGTAGAACGGAGGCTGTTCATTGGTTGATTAAATGAGCGACTGAATGAACGAATAAATGAATGAAAAAACGAACAAACAAACAAACACACCTACAAATAAATTAAAGTTAAAATGAGTGTACAGTATTATCAGGTTGGCTGAGGAATAGCTGGCTGGATGGATTGGTGGTTTGAAAAAGGAATGAATAAATGAACGAACGAACGAACGAACAAATGAAAAACCGAATGAATAGCGACAAAACTGCACCTACCAGTCCAAACAATATCTCATAGAGCACGGAGCCCAGACACCACCAGTCAACTGTCTTATCGTAGGCCCTTTTCTCGATCATCTCCGGAGCTAAATACTGTGAGGAAAACAATTTCATAATAATTTTTAATTATCAAAAAAACTTGAAATAATTAAGATTTATATAAAATTACAATAATAATAATAATAATAATTAATAATAATACCAATAATAATATCTATCTTATCATTCATCATCTTCTTGTTTTTGAAGAGCGTACGATCGTTATCTGTATAAGAATGTCATTTGCCATTGTATAAACATTAAACAATTGCAATAATAATATAACCAAAAGTAATAGTAATCGTTTGTATTATTATTGTTGTTGTTTTTGTTGTTATTCTTATTTTTTGCCGGTTTTCACCCAAAAAGTTTGACTTCCCACTCAGATGAAGAGCCGGTCTGTCTCGTTATTTGGCAACCAAATTAGGTCAAAATGTAATAAATAATAATTATTATTGAATAAAAAAAATTCATATTATTATTATCGTCGTTGTTGTTGTTGTTGCTATGTTTCTATTGTTCATACAGTTGTATGTGTTTATCGGCTGACAGATTTGTAATATATTAATTTTGAATAATGACGACGAGTTGATGATTTCATTTAAGAGTTGTTTTTTGTTTGTTGTTGTTATTATGATTTCTTATTATTATCATTAACATTATTATTATTGCTATTATTATTATTACTGTTTTTATTATTTATTGTGGGTAACGTATTTTCCTCCAAAATTGAAATCGGCTTGTGATGACTAACAACAACTTCTCCTAATTTTATTCATTTTTTTCATTCGTTCGTTCATTCATTCATTCGTTCATCCATCCATCCATCCATCCATCCATCCATCCATCCATCCATCCATCCATCCATCCATCCATCCATCCATCCATTCATTCATTCATTCATTCATTCATTCATTTATTCGTTCATTAACTCGCTCACTCATTCCATATTAAATACTCTTTTCCTACTAATCTTAATTCAAAATTGACGGCTGAAGTTCATTGT